TTTCGCATTCTCTATTGACGTCCCCTGTCCATTGATTTCGGAAAGAGAGAAGAAAACAGCAAGTGCCATAGCAAAAGGGATAGGGATCTCTATCCGCTACAGAATCCTGCCTCAATTTTTATAAAAAGATGATTTCTGTGGTTTCTGTTTTATTTGAAATCTGCTTATTAAAGATTTGAATGAGTACCCTCATTCAAAAACACTGAGAATAACGAATGGTTAAGATTGGGTAATCCCAGCCTGAGCACAGAAAAAAAAAAAAATGCAAATCAGTAAGTATTTGGAATGTATCCATCAAATTTGTATTGGCAAGGCCATTTTGTTCAACATGGAAATACTCCACTTTGCACCAATTCAACTAAACTTACCATTTTCCAGGTCTAAATGTACCTCAAAAAAGACTCCCAAATGAAAATAATTTAATAAAAAAAACTTACAAATTGGAAATGATTATATGCATGTAATAGTTATTTATATTACTAGTACGGTATGAGCTTCATTACATTACAGTAACGAGTGGGGAATATTGCCAAGACGAGGTCGTAGACCGAGTCGTGGTAATCACACGAGTGGTGTAATGAGCCGTTTTTCAATAAAAATGAGTAACGTAATGAGAGTTCATTACATCACTGAGTGATGTAATGAGAGCTTATTACATAACTGAGTGATGTAATGAGCTCATTACATCACTAAGCACGATAATGCAACTTATTACATAACTCAAACAGGCTAAAATGAGTTATGTAATAAGCTCTTACAGTGTAGGTCGTACATAAAAATATAAAAAAACATCAAATGCTCCAAAACAAATAAATATCATCACAACAGTAACTTACTCTTGCACACAGCGAGCTTGGTTTCATTTTTAGTCCCAGTAGGGGTCCTAGAGGAAGGAGTTTTTGCAGATGCTGGAGTCCTAGTTGGAGTTTAGAAAGTGGTATAGTTTTTTCAGGTGTTCTTTAAGTAGCTTTTGAGGAAGTTGATGGAGTTGGTTCAGTTGGCAAGATGGTGCTGCGCGTAGATTGTCCTTTATTTGACAAGTTGCTCTAAAAAAAAAACACAAAGTTTAATTTTTTTTTGTTATCGAAAGAGTTTAAAAGCGAAATACCATGCAAACTCTGGTAAACAAAATGGACCCAAGCTTTTTTCTTACATGCATCAAAATCTACATTTTATGTGTGACAAAAAATAGTTAATAATGTTCATACAAAATTGTTACAAAAGTCATACAAATTTCACACAAAGCAATATTGATGAATATAAAAAAAATAGTACTGACCCTCTTCAATAGGCGAGCAAAGAGAGCTGTACGCCATTGGGTTTCTCTGTAAATTAAAGTATTTTTTATCACTATTTATTGAAGTATTTAGTACATCCAATTAAAGTGTTCATCTTTTCCAATAGCATAGGAATATGGCAGTCAAGTCAATAGGTTTTTTTTGTGCTGTTGACTCTATATCGTCTTGAAGGTAGTACCTATAGTCGAACCGTCCGATCCAACACAATATTTTTACAGATCGCATAGTGAGCAGAGCTGGGAGTAACGACATAAAATAGTTACTTTACTTTAACGAGTCACTGAAAGTAACGCGTTACTTGGTAACTTAGTTACTTTTCAAATTTATTGATAAATAACTGTAACGACGTTACTTTCCTGAAGTAACTGCAGATCGTTATTTTATTAAAGTAACGAGTTAGGTACTATGAAAGTAGCGCGTTACTATGAAAATAACGCGTTACTAATTACTATGAACAATTTGTTTATCTTCCTTATAAATAATTGAAAATTGAGGAAAAGGTAAATCAAATGTGGGTAGTACAGAAAATTTGTTTTGAAAGCTCAAAATAATCGTTTTTGGGCGTGGCACGCGCCGCCTTTGCTCTAAAGACACTGCAGACGCTGGGCACTGGGACGCTTCAAAAAGCAGGTTTGTCCTAAACTAAGTTCACTATTTAGTCGCTTCATCCTTAATAGACCTTTTCAAAGTAGAATAATTCTGTTGCGCATGCGCAAAACATTGTTGCCAAGTGTCAGTTTCTATCACGCTATACAGGAAAGAATCATGAATAATTTCGATTTCATTAGAAGTGAGATTCAAATTCTTTAGTATTAATTAACCTTATATTTGATGCAGTCAAAGACTCAAGCTATTTATTGAAAAGATATATTGATGGTCATTTTGTAAAGTTTTTTTTTTAAACTTAACGCGCTTCAATTTGTACAAACTGGCAACATCGCACAATTTCACTGTCATTTCTTCGATCAGCTGATTATTGTTTTGCGGTCCATGTTACAAGTTTATGCATGGGAAAATATTGGAAAAACCTATTTAAAAATTTAGGCCAGTGCAGTTATGAAATTCACAATGTTGAAAATGTAAATTTTTTTATAAAGCTGCGACTATCAAAAATAAGTAGCCCTAGTACCCCTTATTAACATGCTAAAAGTCCCCATGCCTCCGACTGTTGCGTCACCAAAAAAAGTCGTCCGCCATCTTGAATTTCAGCACTGTTTGGGAAAAACCGCGAATAACTCGAAAACGGTACATTTTTTTGAAAAAAATGGGGACATGAAAATTGAAGAGAATTAAAAAATCTATCAGATACAATGAGAAGTAATTTTGTATCATAGCGATCTATCAACTTAGGAATTTTCAATTCTGTTAATTATTCGGTTTTGATAATTTAATTATTTAAGGCGCGAAAATCGGAGAACAAAACAAAATGTTTGATGATTGATGATTTAAATCAGTTGAGATATTATAAATACAAAACCCTTACATCTCGTCAAGTTCCTAGCAAGAATTTTGAGTTAGCTACTTTGCTTCCAACTTCAGACGGAGCTGATGAGAATCATTACTATAGGACTTACTTACAAATTCAATATTGGCTTAATAATAAAAAAAAAAACAATACATTGGGGTTGGGATGAAAAAAAAAGACATGTTGGTTCCAAAAACTATGTCAAAGGCAGTGGCACCTGATTTTGTTCTGAATATGATATATTGCAACTGCAAGTCAGGATGTAACAAATTATGCACATGTATAAAGTCGAATATTCCGTGTTCAATCCTATGTGGTAATTGAATTGGCATTTCTTGTGATAACAAACAAATTTCCGTAGATGAAGAGGAATTCGAATAAGATGGAATAAATCGTATCCCAGTTTTAGATTGTAGTCACTGTTGAATGGTAACAGAAAGGCCTTGGTTCACTCTCATGATGTTATTTGGTATTAGAAAGTTAATTGTCACTTATAATTAATAACACTAGAGCCTTTTTGCGTCAAAGTAAACTTAATATTTCAATGAGAATTTTGTTGCCTGGCAATTTGTAGCGCTTTATTTCAAACTAACGAGTTGAGGTAACGGGTAACTTTCAAATAACGAACTACTTCTAAAGTAAAGAAGTTACAGTAATGCGTTACTTGCCAATAAGTAACGAAAATAAAGTTATCATTATTCGAAAGTAACTGTAAAGTAACGCGTAACTTTTTTCAAGTAACGATCCCAGCTCGGATAGTGAGTCTATTTGTCTACTCTTTGGCCGAAAATGTATTATTTTTGAACTCGGATAAGTGCACATATGATAAACGAAATATCGGTACCTAATGAAAAATATAGACACGATCAAATTCTGTAGATTGTTTTGCACATTATTATATTACGAAAATAAGCCAAAAAGCACTGTATAAAATATGGATTTTTTCAATATTAAATTTTGTACGGAAATTATTTCAGGAAAGTCTAAAATCTCACCTGAAAGTCATGGTATGTTGTATCCTTAGTTTCATTTGGATCAGGAACCACATTTTCATTTTGAGCACCCCTACTTTGCCTGAGGGCCTGTTTCCGTTTCTGTTTCCGTTTCCTGGAATGAACGTGACCTGCGCTGTTTGGGCAGTGACATAGTATGATGTGTAACCTTGATTTTGGGAATCACTCTTGGCGTGCCTTCTATGATAAAAAGGAACAAATTATTCAGTTGTAAGCAAATTAATCTACTACAAAAAAAAAATTTCAACCAACAAATTCATGGACTGAAAAAATTTCTATAAGAAAAACTGTATTATAGACAATATGCTGGCCCATGCCATATATTGTATCCCCTTGTAGCAACTTAAATATTATCTATGCAGAAACATCTACAATCAATAATTCTACTTACTCGTTTTCGAACCAACAGTCGCAGGTGTTGCCTTAGGCCTCTTTGCAGTATTCTCCGTAGTAGGCGTGGCAAATATCTTCTTTTTGGAAGCGGACGCAATCGTTTTTGGGGTAACTGTAGTACACTTACTGGTGGATGGTGGAAATAGGCTCATACAAGATTTACCTGGACTGACCTGGAGTGCGAAGAGTTGTTTCACAACGTTGCAATTTCCGAGCGCTCAGCTTAGTTTTACGGTCCTAAAAAAAATCGATTAGAAAATATTATTACAAAATAGAATCTATGTACGTTTTCACGGGACTCGTGCAAATTTTGGATATATTCCTCGACAGTGCTACCAAAAGTCTTGAAAACTACACCGTTCTTAACCAAAAACGCTCCAGACAGATTCAACATTTGTTCTTCCAGTTGAGGTATTACTTTAGAGAGTTTATTGCGTTCTTTTTCTTCTTGCAGCAATTGACCACCTCTATTTTTAAATCTATTTACTCCGGTTGCATTTTCTTCAAATTGTATCATCTAAAAAAAAATATTTTTGAAAAAAAAAACACACACAAACAAAATAGGCAATTGTATCACCTTATCCCACAATTCCTGGTGCTTCTTTATTGTATCCAAAAGTTTGCCGTTATCTTCGTAATATTTCTTCCATTTCTGAATTTCCAATTCATGCAGGTCAAGCAAATCCTCTGTATAAAAATCATCATAAAAATACCTAAAAGTCTTCTTGTCCGCATCTGAGCAATGACATGTTGTCCAAATAGTCTGGAGTTGGTCTCTTAATTTGTCCACAAATTTTTTTATGTTGGCTTTTCTAAGCTCCTCGCATCTTTTTACTTCAATTTTAACGCTTCCAAAGTATCTAATGAGTTTTCTGTATAATGACTTCTAAATTCATCTCTATCTATTAACTCGATATCCAACATTTTCCATATAGATAGATAGATAGATTAGATAGATTCTTTATTCGATCATGTAAAAAAGACAAATACAATTCACAGTATACTGCGTATCACAAGTTTTCTACATTTTTACCTCTAGGGTGTTGATCATGTCATAAATAAATAAGATTATTACATATACTACTACATATAACAATAATAATTTCAAACATACAAACACAAAATATAAAATATAAAAATATAAATAGTCACAAAAATCTTTAAAATTTACATAATACAATAAGGAACACATAAATCAAATATTGCTCTTGCAATTTTCAGTTGTCCTGAGCCCTCGAGTGCCTGCACAGAGAGGACCAAGTGTGCGTCCCCATCTATGTCATTTGTCTGTGTTAGTTTGGTAATGATTGCTTGTGTGTTTTGATATTAAGAAACTTTACTTTACCAAGTTGTCAATTTGTGGATCAGTGAAAAACTCATCCAGACTGTAGTAAGCTTTTGAGTTTAGGAATGTTTTAATTTCTCTTTTGATATTCTGTGGCGGTTGCCTTCGAAATGAAATGGGAATAGCATTCCAGACCCTCAGAATGCTATGCTTAACGTTCTTTGCAATGTATGAGTACTGATCGGTTTCTGTTTTTAAGTTTTCTTTAAACCTAGTATCATGGGGGTGGTCTGCTTTTAATTGGTCAAAAATATCTGGGTTTTCTGAAACAAATTTTATGCACTCTAAGATGTAGATATTAAAAATTGTTTGCACACTACTCTCAATAAAAAGATTTTTACAACTTTCCGTACTTTTTCTTTGATAAATTGTCCTTAAGCCCCTTTTCTGAAGCTTCAGAATTCTTTGCGACTCCGAGACACTACCCCAAAAAATGACACCATATCTCACCCTTGATTGGATGTAAGCTTGGCAAGCTGTTAGCGCTGCCGAGCAGCCTGCTGAGTCTCTAAGAACCCTTAGGGCGTAACAGTATTTACTCATGCTTGTTGCAAGCTGGTCAATATGTGCACGCCAGTCCAGCCTCTCATCCAGCACCACTCCAAGAAAGGTAACATTTCCCTTTGTAGCAATTGTAGTGTCATTGTAGTCAATCATTATTTCTTCAGGTTTTAGATTGAAGTTTATAATTTGTGTTTTTGCCACATTAAGTTGAAGATTGTTGTTTGTAAACCAATTCTGAAGACCTTCAAGTGATTCCCGGACATTTGTGACACATTCGTTTTTGGTTTTGTTACAACAGAGCACAGAAGTATCATCGGCAAAGAGTACCACCACATTTTCTAGTACATTTGCAACATCATTTGTATATATTAAGTAAAGCAGTGGGCCCAGTATTGAGCCCTGGGGTACGCCCCTTTTTATGTAGGCAAAGTTCGATTTTTTTACCTCCCCTAGGCTATTTTCTGCCAAGACACCCTGTTTTCTATGATTTAAATATGACTCGAACAGTCTCAGAAGTGTGTCTCGTACTCCGATCCTCTCAAGCTTTCGACAGAGCAGGCCGTGGTCTACACTGTCGAAAGCCTTTGAGAGGTCCAGACAGACGGCCATGGTGACATTGTTCTTGTTTCGTGATTCCAAAATTCGATTTAGTGCTGTGTAGATAGCTCTTATAGTGGATCTTTTCCTTCGAAAACCATTCTGTTTTTCACTCAACAAGACATTTTCTTCTAAAAAGTTTAATAATCTTATATAAATTGATCTCTCAAAGATTTTACTAAAGTTGGATAACAAGGAAATTGGTCTGTAGTTTTTTAGATCAGTTAGAGTACCCTTTTTGTGGATTGGTTTTAGCAGTGCAATTTTAAGATTGGCAGGAAAGATGCCATTTTGCATCGATAGATTTATCAGGTATGTTAATGGCTCTGCAAGTGAATTTGCGCAAGCTTTTATAATGCTAACAGGGATCTCATCATATCCGGTAGATTTTTTATTTTTTAGATCTTTTATGATTTTCAAGGTTTCTAGAGCTGTCAAAGGTCGGATTTCAAGATTCTTTTTACACACAGTGTCAGATTTATCAGCCTGGCTACTACTGCTCTCTGACATCACATCAGGGCATATGTTTACAAAAAAGTTATTCACATCATTCAGGAACTCAGTCTCATTTTCATATTCAAAGTGGTTTAGAATTGAGTCTTTTTTTATTGTTTTTGTGGCAGTTATTTTTTTAATTAAGCTCCAGGTTGCCTGCTGTTTGTTTTCAGCATTTTGTATAAAGTTTTTGTTGCTGAGCTTCTTTGCTTGTTTTATTACCTGTTTGAGTATATTTGAGTATTTTTTGTAGTGCTCCACAGTTGTTACCCCAATTCTAACATTTTGAAATAGTCTTCTTTTATTTTTACTAGATATCTTTATACCAGCTGTGATCCAATTGTGTGTTGGTTTGTTTCTTTGCTTCATTTTTTTTACTGGAAAAATTAGATTTACTTTCTGTAGAAATATGTGTTCAAATCGATTAAAGGCCCTGTCCACATCTGGCTCCCGATAGATGCTACCCCAATCGCAGCGCTGTATTTCCTCACAGAATCTTTCAGTGTTATTTCTAGAAAAAACCCTAACCGCTTTAATTTTTTCTTTATTTTTGTTTATTTCAGAATTATCTAGTGGTAATCTTATTGATTGGGCATAATGATCACTCACAACAGTCTGGATGACCACACTGTTTTCATAATCACCAAAGTTTGGAAAAAAATTATCAATGCAAGATGTCTTTTCACTGTTTTTGTCCTTTGGTGGTCTTGTAATGTCAAATATGGTCTGTTCATAGTTATAAGAGTGTATAAGATCCAACAGTTTATTTTTGTCATTATTGTTACTCACTGTCGGTGACAAGTTGATGTTAAAATCTCCTGCCCACAAGACTTTGTAATTCAGGAAGCGCACCCTGACCTCTCTGCACAGCCTCTCGAAGACCTCTAGGAAGAGTTCACAACTCCCCTTACAGGACCTATAAATACAGAAAATTAGAATTTTATCAATTTTATTTATTAAAGTACAGAGTTCTATTTGCCCCTCTATACAAAATTCTTTGAAGTCATCCAATTCCATAAAGTTTTCCTCTCCATCTCCGACCAGGATGCATACACCACCATGTTGAATTTTAGAGCGTGAAAATGATGCTAGCAGGGTGTAGCCCTCAAGCTTGACAAATGCTTCTTCACCTGGTTGGAGCCATGTTTCTGATAGGCAGACAATTTGATGCTCAGTGTCCAGTGTTTTCAGGACTACTTCTAGTTCGAGTGTTTTATTTCGGATACTCTGAATATTCATGTGAAAAATATTCAGACCATTTCCTGTTGATTGATGTTTTAGTTTTTGTTTGCCCGTATTGGGCTCTGTCGGAGTCTCAGAAAAAAATGTACAAAGGTCCCTTTGGGCCACATTTCTGGTGACATGACTTGCTCTTTGATGTGTGATGGGATTTCCAGCTTAAAACTGCTTTTTATTTTTTCAGTTTTTGTTTTCATTTTTGTTACTAGTATGGTTACCTTTGTGGTTTCTTCAATGTATTTTTTGACATCTTCTGGACTGGTGTTTGGTTCTAGACCGGATATAAACAGGCATGTTCCTCGTTGTGATGCTTGCAGAGGGCACTTCAGCTTGCTCCCAAGTATCGGACTGGGTCGCTGGGTTTCTTCTTGTCTGGGGATTTTGCTTGCCCTTTTCTCATAGATCTTCAATTCTTGTTCTTAAATGGGACACTTCTTCTTCGGTGGATAGTTTGAGCTCTTTCATACACTTGGCGAAAAACTCCAGCATTTTTAGATTCTGGTTACTCAACATCATATCATCTGAAGACAATACCTATTGAAAAAATATTTATCAAAATTACAAAAATCAAACCTCTCTTTCAAAGTCGCTATTGGGTTTGTATTTGATTTCATCAACGATTTCTGTGATTTCGTGTTTCAAATTTACGAATTTTTCCTCGCGTTCAAACTTTTCTGCTTCCAATTTATCAAACTGTGCTTGGGTAGGCAATGGGGTGTACTTCAAATCAATTTGTATTTTCCGGTCTAACTCTTTGCATAATTGTATTTGTTTTTTGTTAAGATTTTCCAGAGCTAGTTTCTTAGCATTAACGACAGCTTCATATCTAAATTAATTTAATAAAAAAAATATAATAAGTAAATTAATTTTTTTAACAACTCACTTATTCACGTATTTCAATAATTCTTGCTGGGCTTCGTAAAGGCTTAAACCTTCTTCCTTAATTTCAGGCAATGGTTGGTGGAGTTCGATGCACGCCTTTTCTAGTCGAGTGAAAAACTCTTGCATTTTATTGATGGTTGACGAATGAATTTGCGACATTTCGGCCACCATATCGCAAAAAATCTCATCGACCGACCTGAGATAGTCCTTATTCCACATAACGACATCTTCGCCTTTGTTACCGGCTACTTTTTTTACAATTTTACACCAGTTCAGAAAGCCTTTTTTGGTATGCTGCTCAACTTTCTCCCATAAGTTCTGCGCCCATGGCATATCCTCAATGCTAGAACAAAGAGATTGTATAGAGGATTTAAAAAAACTTTTAACAATTTTTAATATTAATTCTAAAGTCAGACTACCAGAGCTAGAACTGGAGATAACTCATTCAACTAAGGGATTAAAATGTGATACTAATAATATGCAATATTTTCTAGTTCATGAACTTTGTACTGTCACGGTATCGTCCGCCAGGCTGTCAAGAATCGATGGCGGAAAATACTAGAATCTAGCGAATTATTCTACTTTAATCTGGAAAATTAGATTATCGTGTGTATTCTAAATTTTACAGGAATAGATTTAGGGATATATAAGAAGGCCGGCATTGATTTGTAAGTTAAAGTTTGACTGTGATACGAGTTAAATAGTGATTATTGAGTTGTAAAGTTTATTTGTTGAGTTAGTTATTAAAGTAATTAGTGTCAGAGTGTTTTGTTAAGTGGAATAAATTATTGCTGTGTTAATTGGACTTTGATTTTTGGAATAAACGAAACGAACGACGAACCCCAGATTTCTGTCAAGCAACCCAAAGCCGCGACAGTATATTCCTAGGTATATTCACTTTAAAACGAAGTAGATACTCCATTTCGAAACTACCGGATTTTAGTAAATCCTTCTTTGTAAAGTAAATACTCTGTAGAATATAATAATACTTGTAGTAGTAGTAAGTACTTCATTTTTATTCATACCACCCAATGTCGTGAAATTGTGAAAAATATGAACCATATCCTCAAGAGATTTGTTCTTGAGAAAATCATCCCAGTTAAACAGGGAAAGGAAACTTGACACTTCTTGAACATTCATTAACTTGAAATCCTTATAATAGCTATCCCCAGTCAATCCCGAGTTGGATTAGATTAGATTCATATTCGACTTCAAAAGACAGTGGTAGACGATGAATATCTTCTTCCGGAAGTAAGATATTCTCTGCTGCAAATATCTTGCATAAAAACCAGATCAAGCAAGTTATTGTCATAGACCCTGAGTTAAGGACTGTTTCGTGGAGTCATTTTTTTTTGTCTGATGGCATTTTGAAGGCTGAATGTGACTGGTTAGCTGATGACAATATAAGTGGTTTTAATGCCTGCTCCTTGTTCGAAATGTTCACAGAATTTTTCGCCGGAAAACTAGATTTTGAACTGTGATTACCATCTGACGATTTTCAGCGTTATTTTCACAACAAAACCTTTTATTCTCCGTACTGCCGAAAAGAAAGTACATGCGGAAGTTTCTATACTTTTCTGTTGGAAGTTGAGACTCATCCCCACTTTTTCAGCCACTGAAAAATATCTGGTATTTTTTATGGGTGAATTATTTAATTTATCAATTTCAATCTTTTATTTAAAAGCCAGATAATTTGAGATCATTAAAAAAAAAATCTTTATGTAAATGAATTTTTTTCTTCTCCAAATTTTCGAATGGGGGGCAGGCATTAAAATCACCCATATTCTCATCAGTTAACTAGCCACATTCATCCCTGAAAATACCAGACAAAAAAAAATGACTCGACTAAACAGTCCCAATCTCACGGTCCAACTTAATTCGTTTGGTGAAACTACGGCCATAGGCACAGCGACTGAAGAGAATCCATCATTATGTCACTGACAGTACGGAAGATTAAAATCTTCCAGGATACAAAGTTTGTGTTCTGGATATTCTCCAGATAGGTTCTCAGTAAACTTCACATATCTTTCTGGATCACTTCAGGGTGAGAAATAAGCTGTTGCAAGCATAAAATTGTTGTTACCAATTTGAACTTTACCATAATTATTCCATATTTATGGTAACTGATAAAACTGTACTGGTTATGGTTTTACGGAGTGCTATTAGTACTCCACCTCCTCTATAAAAAGTACTTGTATCGTATCTGATGATCTGTCCTTTTGATAATAATATGTTGTACTTTTTAGTTTGGCATCATTAATAGGTCTGTTCGCACAGCAAACACAAACCAGTCAGATTGAATTTCATTCGTTGAAAACAGTCAGAAAACTAGTTTCAACCAATGACCTAAGGTCTGTTTCCACAGAAATAACAAACCAGTCAGAGTGTTTTTGATTGGTCCAAATCGCCAACAATCAGCATACAAAGCCAGACAACTACTTACTATAGTGAGATGAACAGCACTGTTTAAATTATTAGGGTTCTGCCACCTGGTGGTCAAACCATTATTCATAATAATGAAGTCATTGTTCCAAATAAAATCGCTAATGTATTTCCCACCATTGTTGGCAGGCATCCTATCCCAAAGAGGATGGATGATGACAATTCAGATCCCCCATGATTATGATTTTCTGATTAGTAAAGTCTTCTATAAGCGAATCGAGAAAATTTAAGTCGAAGGCAGTATTCAAATTACTATATATATTGCTAGATATATTGATTATATTCAAATCTCCAATTTTAGAAATAATAGGTATATTGAATTGAATCTGAAGAAAATTTTTTAGTTGTGGAAAAAATTATGTTGTCTTTGACACATGTTGCCACTCCTCCATAACCGTCATTTCTATCCTGCCTAGTAATATTGAAAGATTTTAAAGAAAAAGTTTGATTTGAATTGAGCCAAGTTTCGTTGAGCAAAATCACATCTGGATTTTCTTCCGTTATAAGATTAATTAGGTTATCTCTATTAGATCTGACACTTCGAATATTCCATTGAATTACTTTCAAATTTGTCCTATTATATATAGTTTATTATTTGTACTTATACTATAGAAAAAAACAGAAGCTGCGAATATAATGAGTCCAAAATCTTTGATTAGTTTAACCTGAATCTGAGGATTGATCCAAATCCATAGTGGATTGAGGTCTACACTCAGTCAGGAGCAGTTCCCTACAAATATTTTTATTATTATCCGACGTATTTCTAAGATAGTTGATTACAGATTGTAAATCAAAAAGTTTAAATGAATGATTAAAATGGTTTGCTGAATTTGCACTAGTAGAAGGCATTTCTTCAATTCTTCTTTGAGTAAAATTTGAAGTAGGAGATAGAGTCTGAGATGAGGGTAAGATTTGTTTTTCGGGTCTAGAATTGGGTGAAAGAAGATTTTCACTATGAGCATTACGATCATAACCTTTCTGAATTATCCTTTTTTTGGTAGTGTCTGAAGACGCCACCTGTTGAAAAGATCTTTTAATGGTGTTTGTTCTAAATGATTGAGTTCTTCTTATTTTTATAATTATTCATTGATTTATTACCCCTCTTTAGCTCGGGAAAATCGCTGGGGCTATATATATAATCCCCTTTTGTTATATAATTTTTTCTGCAAATATCATTGGCTTCGGAAAAGGTTACGTTTTCAAAGGCCATAAGTTCTTTTATATTTTTTTGCCGGGACATTTTTTGTAATTAGATTTATGATTGTCTTTACAGAAAAAGCAACAAGGTTCGCAGGAGGGTTCCTCATTTTCTTGCGTATGAATTTCTCCTGAGCAACTGAAACATTTTTCTTTTCCTTGCAATTGGTACGTGTATGCCCGTATCTTAGACAACGATAACACTGTGTGACAGGCGGAATATAAATTTCGATATGTCGCTGAAGTTAGCATCAGATTCAGAAATGAGAAGGGGGTAGATTCCGCCCCAAAAAGGTAAATGAGATCAGGTATCGCCAAAATTGGGAGCACCACCAAAGTTGATAGAAATATTGCTTGAATAGATACGAGGGACATATCAGAAAAGCACATGTTTATCTCGGTGATGAAGGGGGGAAATTCAACCCCAAAGTTGACGAAAAAAATCAAACTTCTTTGAAACATTTTGTAGCAGTTTCAAAGTTGGTTCAATTATTGTTTGGATAGATACGAGTAAAATATCAAAAAAGCACATGTTTATCTCGGGGATGAAGAGGGGAAATTCAACCCCAAATTTGACGAAAAAACCAAAAGTATTTTAGATAGAAAAATTTTACATAACGGGGCAGTCTATTCCCCCTGAAGGTAAAAAGCACCGTACTTGTAGGCTCATAGGAGACCGTTTTGTCTTTAAATACTTTTCTGTTTAGTCTCTTAACATTAACTATTTTAATTTTATCATAAGTCTCACAAGCGCTCAACAATTCGTCTTCAGTTAAATCTACTTTTCTGGCTAAGCCTTTTGACGTGACAAAATTAAAGGGGATAGGTATATATTTTGTAACCTTTGTCTAAAAGGGTTTTATTATTTATGAATGAATTTGCGGCATTGCATGTAATAAACTGAATCGAAATTCTAGGTATTCAAGCCTTTATTGGAAATCTTCAATACGTCGGTCAAATTAAGATTAAAAATGTCTCTAGCTATTTTAATGTTATTGGATTTGCCAATGCAAAATCCGACTTTTTCGGTCGTTTCTAAATATACAATAAAGGGACCTTTATCTGTAGGCTCATAAAAAAGGTTATTTTTATTTAAATCATACGAAAGCGCTGAACGGACATCGTGTTTTTTTTTGTCAATATTCTATAATTGTCAGTTACAACTGACAATTAGCCCTAATTGTCACTTACAACTGACAATTAGCCCTAATTGTCACTTACAACTGACAATTAGCCCTAATTGTCACTTACAACTGACAATTAGCCCTAATTGTCAGTTACAACTGACAATTAGCCCTAATTGTCACTTACAACTGACAATTAGCTCTAATTGTCACTTACAACTGACAATTGACCTTTTGTTTGGACGCCATATTGCGGTGCGCGAACATAGTTGCCAAAAGTAGAAAAAAAAAATTACTAGCGTACTTTCAACATTAAAAACAAAAGTTACTGAATAAATTACATTCAAAACTTAAATTTGCCGCCTATTACGAATGTTTTTGAAAAAAAAAGGCCATCAATTTTAGCCTGTATTGAGCAAAATAGAAATAATAAAATATCCACCTATTTACTTTCATTAATCAGAGAGAGAAAGTAAACAAACAAAAAGGATAGCGAGGATCAATCATTTAGTTACTTTTGTTTTTAATGTTGACAGCCCGCTAGTATTTTTTGTTTTTTTCTTTTGGCAACTATGTTCGCGCACCCCAATA